TCCAGTTTGACCCCAAACCATCTGTGCCGGGCCCTGGTTGCAGCTCACGCGAAGCGCGGCTAAAATGTTGCGAGAGCACAAATTGTAGCAAATGGCAAATTTGTACTAGGACAAGCATTCTAGCTTGCGGCTTGTGCTCTGCAGGTTAGATATGTCCACTCCGTACGGTCAACGGAACGACAATACCTGATTTATCCAATGGCCATGTCTAACCAAAAATTCTTGTGGCTGAGGCCGCGTCCCGGCAAAGTGATGGGTAGCGGGATTTTACGATGTTGCGACGATGACTCCCCTCCCCTCCTGCCTCCCCCACTAATCTATCAGCGGTCTGGAGCGAAAAAGCACGTCTAGAAAGCCCAAAATCCGCTCCAGACGTCTTCTGGGCCCCGCCCACTTGTTGCGGACTCCGCCCAGCTTACACACATTGGAGCGGACGCTGACAGGAGACCTTAGAAAGGTGCCATTTTCGGCTGAAAAGCCCAGATATGGCTTCAGAATGGCAAGAAGGCTCCAAAAAGCTGAAAGAGGATAGTGAACTTTTGGGGGGACTGCCTTTGGGCTTTCTTTAAATTCCACAGACCATTGAAGCTGGCGTTTCCTGATCAATGAATGTGTACAGTTAGCAATTATCCTACATTGCTAAAATGCAAAAACAAGTAGAACAATATAAGCAAAAGCATAACTACGTTGTGAACTTCTCTTCAGCAGTGAAGCATGTAATCGAAAGCAGCGTTTTCCAGTTCAACTGTCGAGAAGCACCACCGCGCTGCTGCACACATGTAAACACACGTCGAGTATGGTGTTGTTGTTGCAGTTGAAGAGTTGCTGCAATGGTGTTCAGCAACACCACTTTGCTCCTGCAGCAGTCATGGAGTCGAGCAGCAACACTCCACTGCTGCAGACATATCAACGCCTGTCGTGTATAGTTGTATAGTGTTAAGCAACACTATCTTGCTGTAGTCAAAGGGTTGCCGCAGTAGTGTTGCTCAACACCATTTTGCTCTTGCAGCGATGGTATGGAGCTTAGCAGCACCACTCCATTGCCGCAGACATATCAACACATGTTCAAGTGGTTAAACAACACTGTGTTGCTGCAGTTGAAGGGTTGCCGCAGCGGTGTTGAGCAACACCACTTTGCTCCTTCCTACAGCAGTCATGAAGTTGAGGAGAACTCCATTGCTGCCCAAGTAAATTTACTAACTCAGACAATTCACGGGAACTTCCCGAGGACAAGCT